TGTCCATAAATCATGTACTCATCGATTCAATTGAGTTCTAGAATTGTAAGTTTTATAATTGGTTTTCGTTTCATGTTCGCGCTGAAGGTGACTTAATTGCGAGTGTGATTTAACGGTTTTTTTATTGCTCGTATTGTGCTACTAACACTCGGATATTCGTAGTTTAGCACCTGTATTAGCTCAATTATTTAGCCTTTAACGAATAAAAAGAATGGTCATGAATTCTTTCTGCCGAATTTGACGAATCGAGCGCATTATATTTTTAAAAAGGAAAAAGTTTTTTTTATTTCTCGGTTTATTCATGTTGCCACACAACTACTTGCGCTCGATATATTTCTTCAAACTCAGCACTGTGACAGAATCCATGAATATGAAGTTTTAAGATAATTAAATCGATCAATATTTGAACTACATGCTCTACATTATTTTCTTCGCGTTGGTCTTTTTTCCCACTTAGGAATATTGTCACATGCATACAACCCGCCATCCACTACGTATCCCCCTTAGTTTCGTTCTTGGAAAAATTTCGGCAAAGTTTAACATGGCTGACATTCATTTTTATGATTTGAATTGCTGGTTAATTTTGGAAAACGAAAGATAACTCACAGATACTGAACAAAATAAAATACCAGGTTTAGTCGAATTTAAGTTGAATGTCTTTCATTCAAATCCAAAAGTATCTTTGATTTTGAGTAAGCAAAGTATTGAAAATTCAACCGTTTTAACATTCTATCTGAATATGAGCTCTATACATGGTTTGGAGGCGGATTATTAGTATTGACTTCAGTAATAATATGTATCTAATGGAGCATCTTCGATCATCAACGAAGAGTTGTATATTTCCTGGGCTAATTCCTGATCACATGCGTTAATACAAGATTTGTGTATTTGAGCGATGATTGGTTCCGAAGTTTCAGTACGCCAGGTACTTTTTGACTTCCTGTGTAGTGTCACAGACATTCTTACAACACAATGGCATACTTTCTATGGCTTCTTTAGAAGGCACTAGCCACGAAGATGATGAGAAAAATGAAGAAATAGAAAACGCGGGTGCGTGCTGTGTGCAGCTATAAAGCACGCAAGGGGCCGGCTGGCAGAACACGAGAGAAGGTTTTAGGAGAAGCACGACGCGTAGCGGAGTAGTTCTCGACACTTCACGAGTGATCTGCCAATCTCCAAGTGCTTTATAACTCCACACAGCACAGTAAGCAAGTTTTTTATTTCTTTTATGAAATACAAATTACATGAATGACGAAAATGAAAGTGCGTGTGCGTGCTGTGTGCTCTCATAAAGCACGCCCTCCCAACTAATCAGGACGCGGGTTTAGACCAGTTGTTTTTTAATAAGACTTATAGGGGTTCACTTATATTTCTTTTACATAACGATGTTTCAGTTTCCATATGATGGTTTTCCGTATGAAGAATTTTACGTCTTTATATGAATCGCATTTTTATCGCTATGAAAATGAAATGCTTCTGGTAGCAGCAAAAAGAAAATTAGCTGGAGATTGCCCAACTGAACAACAAAACCAAAAGCGTCAAGTAAAAAATATGATTTTCTTATCCTTATTCGTCACGATTTTTTCCCCCTGTTATATAAGACAGGAGTATCTCTGGCTCTAGCTGACCAGGACTTGAAATACAAGTTCAAGTTTAGTAAACGCATATTGATCTTTCAGAAAAGTATTTGTCACTTAATAAGATTTGCTTTTTCGGCCCAATCCAAGAGAAACGATTAAAAAACGCTGGAAACTGCAAACACAAGTTGAATGAAACTGCAAATTCCAAAAGAAAAGGTACATCGTTTTTTAACTCCATTTAGACGCCTATTCTAAATTTGAGCGCATTCACATGGAGCAGAAGGGGGCACTTATCTTTCATTGTTATATTATTTACCGCTGTACATAATATGAGTAAGCTTGAGTCCGTCAGATACCGCGCGCTGCCAAGCGCGCTTAGTGTGCCTTGTTAGGATGTGCCTTAGACCTAACGGTCAACCTCATCCCCAGGGCACTCTCACGCTCTCTTCCACGAGGTTGACCTAACGGTTGATTGACAGCCACGCGAGAGGGAAAAAGTTGCTTGGCATAATATAATTTGTTTTGAGCCCACGATGTGCGTGCGCTCAATAACCGTTGAATAACCTTCACGATGTTATTGAAGAATAGACGTTTTGAATTTTTGCACCGAACTCTATACTTTTTAATTTTATATTAAGCTTAATTTTTTTTAAATTCTAAAAAGCTACGTTATATATCTGGTTATATATCAAATTGATTTAAAAAGTTTTTTTTCTAACGCACTAAAAATGGATTTTTCTAGAAATTTGACTTCGAGACCGGCTTTTTAAGTAATTTTTGAGAATATTTGTTCATAATTATATTTTTATAGTTTTATTTATTTTTTTGGTCAAACATATATTTTTTATAGTTATTTTATTATGAGTATATTTTTTCCTACCAGTCTTGTTATATATTTCAACTTATTTATTATAAATAAATATAAATATGTTTTCATAGATAAATAAGTATATATTATATAGATTTGTTATTTTATATTCATAATCTTTTCTTTTTTGTTTTATAATTANATTTGTTATTTTATATTCATAATCTTTTCTTTTTTGTTTTATAATTATAGCAATATTCTTATCACGTCTCATATTATAATGAATTATTAGTTAATTATTACTGTCAATAAAGTGACTATTATTATTATTATTATTATCATTAATGTCATTAATTATGCATGAATGTTTGAAAAGCACTAAAAGAGCGAAACATGATCAATCAATGTATTTCTTTTTTAATATCCATGCGTTATTGTAGAATATGGTTCACAAGCCGGCATTTGTGCAAATATATGGGCTGCAATTAATTCTTATCTCATGAGTTTTTTTTTCCGGTAAAACATCTTGGGCGAAATTTTTGCTTTAAAAATTTGCTCGTAGGCATTCAATAAAAGTTGAACTGCTGGAGAAATTCTCTAGCTTGCATTGACTGCTCTGGCAGTCCTGTTAGGAATCTTGCGTAGTAAACAGGCCATTTGGAGCAGGTCAGTTTCCTGGTGACTGGAAGACTGGTAAAAATATACACCGAATCGAAATGTGTCGACAAATTTGAATAACTATATCGTTCGGGACTGGCTAGCGACTGAATAGCTTTGTATTCACATGGGAACAGCGTGATTCGGTAAATGTGTGTTAATTCTTATTTCAGAATTCCCGAAAAGTTATTTTTAGATCTCGAGTACTCCTTAAGAAAACTAAGATTCCTCTGACAATTTTTCCTTCAAAATTTTCTATGAAGTGAAAGAATTTCAACAGACGAAAATAACAGTAATTTTTTTCTGATATTTTCTATTGATTTCCTTGTCCTGATTTGTGTAGTACTAGGTTTCCCATCATGCTTTGTGCTAGAGATTGCCTATTCTGATATCCCAAGGATAGAGAGAGAGTCCCTCTCTGTCCTTCATGGTCTCTTGTTTATATAGAACTCTCCTACGGGACTCTCGCGCTAAAACCACATTTAAATACGCGTGCCCACATACCAACGCCACAATGAAGAAGATCCGATTGTCACGGTTGGGAACGTCTGTAAAAATGTTTCAAAAATTTCCGGCAAAATGTTTCAAAAATGTGTCAAGTATTTTAAGTATTATTATGAATCCTGTCTTCAATTGTGGTATTTTTATAACTTTGTTTTGTTCTGATACGCAAGAAACGATCATGGCTTGAATCAGCTTCTAGGTAATACAGCTATAATATTCTGAGATGCTAAGAGGTAGTTTCAAGAACTCCTAATGCGACATATGGTAAGCATTTGTCTTTTGGAGTCCTTGACATTAGCTTTTATCAAATATTTAGGTAATTAAGACTAGTTTAGCATCACTAAAAGACTCTAATACCTATGGATTTTAAAGCAAGTGACGTTTACTTGAAAACAAAGCAATTCGTTCGCCCCATATGACACGACAGTGGCTTTCCTAGTTAAACCTGATCGTACAATATTCCTGACTTCTATTGGGCTTTTGAAAAGATTTTCAAAGAAGAAAAGCCGTCATTCCTTAGACATCTGTTTTCGTTGAACGAGTCGCTCTTTCTGAGCAAGATAAGTCGGTCATTGACTCTTGTGATATCAGGAATTCTTGAACCAAAGGTTATCTGTAATGATTCATCTCTTCAGGTTTGTGTTTGCCACACTACTAACCATTTGGTTTTAGGTGTTCGTGAGTACTCCCTTCAATACTGCTTCATGATCACTCATCATCGCGAGACGTTCTTCTAGTCTTTGCAATCCGTTGTTCAATCCGTTCCCTAAAGTCTCGCTTTATATTCCCCATGGCGGGGCTTTTTCGAAAAAGATGCTCCGCCCGGTCTCTCGACCTCTTAGCCTTTTATACACCAAATTGTTGGCAAAATGGTGCACCTTTCATAAAACATTCTCCATTCGTATGCCCAATGAAGCTTTCATGTTGTATGTGGCCAGTAGACCAAATATCAGTATCGATCGTCACGTGCATGCGTTCCGAGTTTGGCTAAAATTCCCCTTTTTTTAATATTAGCATTGCGAAACCAATACCTTTTTTAAAAAAAAGCCTAAACTCGCCAATTTCCAATTTTTTTTCAGTTTACCTCCAGCATAAAAACATACTCCTTTCGGGCGGAACATCCCCGTATGGCTAGCTTAGGTGAGTATCACCAATCCCCCCTCCCCACGGTAATAACTATTTACTCACTTTTACTGCACGCTTTTTGGGGTCTGTTGACCACTAAAATGTCAAATTTTCACAAAATATTTATATGTCCTTTGGCTATTAGTTTAATTGGCGCTTCATGTAAACTTGAAGTTCGAAAACTCCCTGGTTCACTCGGGTCATGTAGAGAAGATAGCTAAAGAATCTCTCGAACCCACAAAGCTGATAGAGGGATCATATTGAACCAATAGTGAAATCCAAGATATGCAACATGGATTACTAAGGTCCCATTCTGGTATATATACTGACAATGCATTCGCAGCCATTGCATGGGAAACTACATTACTGAACTACTAGCATAAATCTAAGGTGTAATTGCACAAACAAATTGCGTTTGAACGTTACGAATGAAGGATAGTTCAAACAATATCCCAAGTGAGCTGCAAAAATGGGTTGATTTCAAGACTTATATCAGTTTCCAACGTATTTTCATATGATTTAGTATACTTTTATATAGTCATATAACAACTTTTTAATGCAGTAGCATAGCTTTAAAACTACGAGTTTTTTAGATAGCCCTACTAGCAATTTACTGATAAACAATTAGATTTACTTATTTTTTAAACAATTTTATATATTCTTTCCATTTTTTTCAGAAGAGTTCGACCATATCGCTTTCCAAATCGTCCTTGTTTTTACGAGGTTAGCCCACACTTAATAAACAGTACATGGCTAACAAACCTGCCGGGCCCTCTTACATGATTGAATTGGAATTTAGGAGTTTTTTGTGGAAAAAGGAAAGCCGTAGAACACGTAGAAAAGCCCTCGACGCAAAGGAGAGAACCAACAAACAACTCAACTCTCACCGTCTCCTGTGGCAAACACATGATCATTTTACAACAAGTCCATTCCGTTCGATTCATATGTCGTTTTATTTCATTCGTGGTTTAAAACTTTGTTTTTGACATCTAGTTATATGCAGTATGTAGCTGTAAATTATACTCTCTTAAAAGGTTACAGAATAATATAACTCATACAACTGTAACTGGTCCAATCAGTCAATCCGAATGACTGAAAAATGATTCGAATTTGACTGAGTAAGATTTGCATGCCAATAAATGATATGCAAGACTTTCTTCAACGTAACTTGTTCAGCACAGCGTTTAGTTTATTAACTTTTAAGGCCTTGTTTCCAATGCACTACCTACACCATCCAACTTTGTTTACAAGCTATATATTTTCAGTGTAATCTACTCTACAAGTGGAGCTTAGATAAGTAAATATCAATACTGAGAGAGAAAAAATCCATTACCCATGAGATCCAGTGCCAAAAAAAAAAAACATATAGAAACAGATAAATGATAGAATACCACATGCAATGGAACAATGACTTAAGAGCTCCGAGCAAACTGTATCAGATTATTACTAAACAACATTAATCTCTTTTATATGAGCAAAACATCTCATGCATGTCACAAAGTTTTTTGATAACTGAATGAATAAAAACAAAGAATGCCATATATTGAACTAAAGGATGAATAAAAACACTACATTAAACTAAAGAAGAAGCAGAAAAAGCAGACGGCTTATCAATGTATGAACAAAAACGTGAGAAACGCTAGACAATAAAAACAACTTAGAAAAGGTTGCTGGGGGAAAAAAACAAGCTACACTAGCAAGTAGCACTAGTCTTTACGGATTGCCTATAGACTAGATATTAAGGCCAGTTAAATTAGATAAGTTAGCAAGTACTTTAACTTTCTTTCTTCCCATTATGAAATCATGACTGATAGACAAGGAGTGCGACTTATGAGTGTTATTAATGGTGTCTTCCGGTGTCGTGCAGGCCATGTTGCAAGTGTCCTTTGCAGATTTTTGTACATTTTATTTGCACATACAATTTTGACCACATCACCTCTCCTTTGATTGCTGCTTCTCCTGGTCTTCGAAGTCCAACCAGTTTTTAATTGAGATTCGCGGAACTTCTGTGTACACTGCTGTACGAAATCTGAACGCCTTCAGATAACACAATACTCAATGTTCTTTTGAAGCAAATAAAATGAACTTGAAAAAGAAGAAACGACATATTCAAGTTTATCTTCAAAAAAAATCTACTATCCAGTGTCTTGTACATTGCGAATATAAGTTGTACGAATGTAAGAATGTAGATAGGATTCGTCAGTGTTAGAAGTACTGACATAAAATCTTCTGAGAGTGATGAGTAAAAGAACGACAATGTAGTTGCATCAAATATATTATACTTCTCAAAATATCCTATGTACGTAGTTCGGCTCAAAAGCTATTGCTAAAACTTATTATTTTTATCATGATCTACTTGTGAAGAATCCCAATGCAAGGTGTTTTTCATCGCATGAAATGTAGTTGCATCAAATATATTATACTTCTCAAAACATCCTATGTACGTAGTCCGGCTCAAAAGCTTTTGCTAAAACTATTTAAATTTTTTTTATCTAGATCTACTTGTGAAGAATTCCAAGGTGTTTTTCATCGGATGCCATGTGGATGAAATACAAATTAATAGAATCAATAGTGTACGCACATTTGAAAGAGAACTAACAGGTGTGTACAACTATAGTGAGCAACTTCAAGAAAAAGCACGCTTGGAAGTGTTCTACATCAAAACCTCTTTCTTTATGACTTTTATATCAATAGAAAGACTTTCATGGCGATATAGATAGGGATGTTAGACAATCAGTGATTTACATCAATTCTCGTGGCACTGAAATAGTCAAGACATTAAATAATGTAACAACCATTTGTTGTGTTATTAACAGCTCGTTAAAGAAATACCCGCTGATGGTTTATTAAATTTAATTCCCATCTGTCTCTGTTTTGTTGTCAAATTCAGCTACAAAACATGATTTTGGGCGGTAAGTACGACTCAGAAATCAATAATTGAGTCCAACTTTTTGCTAAGACAGCTAAGACTCACAATAAGTTCACATATGTAGAAACCACATTTATTTTGGATGGGTGTACAGCAACATCCCAGCTGCTGCATCGCTGGCCCCTTCAGTCAGCATATATGCATCTATAGCATTACCTACGAAAATGTAATTACCCGACATCTAACAGCACTGTATGTAAGCCTTCTTGTAACACTACTGTTACGGCTTGTCGTAATTCATATAGCTTTGTGATTAAAGTAAACGTCTTTCCCACGATATTTCTAACCAAAATAACCCGGATATCTGACATTACAAACATAATGGCTGATAAGCTCCTTAAAACTGAAACCAAAGACGTTTATTTTATACTAGGACTTTGAGTCCCTAAAATCCAAAAATCCGTTTAACGTTGATTGTAGAAAGGAGTTTTGAGAATATATAGTACAGTTATTATGAGCCAATTATATATTCATATATATATAAAATATCATATCAAGTCACACAAAGGTTGATGTTTTCATTCGTATACTTATGAGTATCTTCACTGATTGCTAGTAAATACGACGTCCAGAGGTCCCGAAACGTAGATGAAATTAATCTAACCTACCTCGAGTATTAGTTAGTTTCACACGCTTTATGAAAACGATCCTGTATATAAACTATTGCCTTCTAAATTTCCCGCTAATCGTTGTTTAGTTGGTCTAGGTTGTCGTTCGTCGTTCCATGATCCCAAAAGAGATCCTGGACTGATGTCCGCGATAAGTCGCGACGCCAACAACAAAACAATTTTTTCATAAATATAACTGTTACTATGGTTAGTTTTAGGTTAAACTGGATATGTGTTTTTCGATGTCTTTGTTGAGGTTTCTGTTCTGGATAGGATTTGTCTGTCATGTGGGTTTGTAAGATCCATTTCGGACGCCATCACATCATCACTGGCGTTTTCTAAATTCAACTCCAGAGAAGACGAATTACTCTTACTTACAAATGCAGAATCGCATCCATTGAATTCCGTGCCATTATAATCCGATCTTTCTTCGTTTCCTTCTAAGTCATGAAGCAGTTTATCTAAGAACCTTATATATTTCATTGTTGTCCGTAAAATTTCGTGTTTTGATAGCTTTTTGTCGGTCGGATAGGTTGGTAACAGTTTACGAAGCTCAGCAAAAGCCATATTTACTTGATATTGTCTCCATCGTTCTCTACTATTAGTAAAAAGTCTTCGATGAACGGAACCATCTTGATAAGATTCTTCACGAGAACCACTTCGCTTCACTGTAGCTCTATTAGCTGGACAAACAGTCCCCGCATTACTCGTGTTATTCTTATCAGACCATTGTGATTCTTTCGTTGTTGGAGATTTTCTAGAAGGTGACATCATAGGACGAGAAGTATTCAACATTAGCAGTATGTAACATTGCTTGCCAGCTTTCGTTCACTTTTGATAGACGAGTTGTGAGCCTAGTTAACGTTGAACACTATCGATGAGCCAGAAAATAGATTAAAAAGTTAACAAACAATCAATCTTGATCGAATCAATCATTTGCTATCTGCGATGAAGATTGTGCAGTTTTCAGCCATCTTCTCTTATAAAACCGTTAACATATTTTCAATCTTTCAAAGCCGGCTCTCCGTTTGTATGTCGCTCGGAGATGATTCAGTCCTACATGGCTTTCGCCTCTTGGAGTATAAATTTTTGCTTGAATTTTTATGACACTGAACTTTTGCGATGTCGGCTTGTGCTCTCGGCGTTATCTTGATATGTCGATAAATCGTATTTGGGCTTTTAAGCCAATGGCCAGCTTCTTGAAGGTCGTTATCTTCACCATCTTTGAGAGTCAAGCTATTGCCGTTACGTATTTTGTGGCCCTCTAGCAACGTACACGCGAATTGAGCAGTCGAAGATAATACCTGCACGGGATACGAACAACAAGTAACTAGTTCCAAAGATTCTCTCTAAGGAAGCTCTACAAACTATAAACCAGGTTTTACATTGCAACGTCAACTTGCAATGAGCATCATAACGCTTTTAGTTTAGTAATTTTTAAAGAGAGTTCACTTCTACTCTGGATCTTAATTAGCTCATTAGCAAATTAGCTGTATTGGCTTGACCTCGTACAACTGAAAATAGCTATGAGGTTTGTTGAGGTGGAGGGCTGTGTTCGGTGTGGATGGCATTTCCGTCATAACCCGGCAGATGAGACTTTTTGAAAAAGCAACTTTACATTAGGCTTTCGACTATGATGACAGAAGACCAGAGTTATTAGCTTGAAACTGCCTGGTCTTTTCCCGAGGGGATGCAAACTGCTCGATACAGAAACACAAAGGGTCACTGGATTACCAATTCCAATGTCTTAGACACGGAACAAGTTTTAAGATATATCGTACACTTACATTATAGCAACGACAAACTAGCCACCCGTTAACAACTTTTTTCTGTTAACCATACTACTTGTTTAGTAGTCTTGGCGTTTTTCACTAGGGTGTTGGTCGAGCTGGTAATCCGTTCCCTCCCATGTGGTCGGATACCGCGAGTTGTTGCTAGATTGTCTAGGAAATAATCTCACATTTCTTTTGCCCCAAAAGTAGCCAGACTTTTTGCAAAAGCTGTGGAAGTCATTCTCCATTTAATTTGGTTTGATACTGGCATAGCTGGCTCAAAAATCAGCTAGACGTACAAAGGTGACCGAACTACTTAGACGTTGCCTGTGCGTCAAGATCAACCATCTTTTTTTAGGCAACACAAAATGCAAATAAAGTTTGCCGTTTCTTGTCGTATCTGAAATTTAAATTGATCACCACTCATGATGCACGAACCTTTCAACCTTTCAAGAAACTTTGACAAAATGCTGCTATTATTTAATTTAACCCAACGATAAGTTTTAAATCAGTAACACAAAAGGATCAGCAATGAATATGGTAAGCATCCATGTTGTATGACTGATGATTTCAGTTTTAGTTTGTTTTCTGACTCCGTTTTTATATAAAACCCTTAACACCAACAAACACATGAAAAGCTATAGAATGTCAAATAATAAAAAAACATACACTTAACATATATAATAAAAAAACAGCTTTCGTTTACTGAAATAATTGTTTTTATGTATACAGCTTGAACATCGACGAGAGAGAAATAGTTTGTCATCTATAACGGATGAACAGAGCTTTCAGCGAAATCCTTTCTAGTGAAGTCGTTAGGTTATGAAATAACAGCTTTCCACTCTTCACTTTTCGGTTAACTGTGTTTTTTTCCAGACCAATCTCGTCCCTGGAGATTTTTAGCCGATATCCCAGCTACCATCCAGGGCTTTGTTTACTAAATAAATGAAGAAAGTATTACTGATTAAACGTCTACGCACATAAAAAAACTACCGTAGGAAAAACTCGGTGAATGGCAATTTTCACTCTAGCCTGATCGTCGCAAAACTGAGAATGGTTTTAGTTTCAAAAACTCTCTTTCTTAACTCTACAGCACTGTACAGAATGAACACCTAGCGATACCAACCATCCCTTCTTGTATGCCATAAGCCTTTATGCTGTAGGGCTTTTATCTGCTTTAAACGCTTTACTAAACGTTCTTTCGCTTTGTATATTGAATTATATTTTTCCTTGACAAGATGACGCCCTATTGCATTATACAGGTTTTAAGCCTCTAGAAGCTTTTAGAAAACAGCTACGAAGGGGATTTGATCATCTGGGGAAAGCCGAAGGCACCGTAAATGATATTTCAATGCATTCGATAAGTGATGCGATAGAATATAGCAATGTTTCTAGTTTTATTCCCTTGAGCAAGGGCGTATTTTATAACCTATTCGTATACACTGCTTGTCACTAATGGAACAGTCGACATTATTTGTCGGCTCTTTATTTCTGGGAGAGGGGGGGTGG